AGAGCATGTGGGAAACAGAGTAATGCTTCCCCAAAGATATACCCTCCACCAGAACCTGTGAAGAGTTCCAGTACTTGGCAACACAGAATTAAGCTTGTAGATACAATTAAGGATGCTAATCAGTCAAAGTAAAATAGGGAGAGTACATTATCCACGTGGGCCCAATGTAATCACACAGTACCTTTAAAGTGGAAGAAGGAGAACCAGAGATGGTAGTTTGTTACAGCAGCAATAGGAAACAAATTCAGAACATACACATGAGAAGGAGAGAGTGCATGTGGTTGGGCAGGTTAGCAGGAGGAAAGCAGCAGAAGGTAAAATGAGAAACTGAGGTAAAGGGCAGGTTTGGAGGAATCTTCTTTTCCAAGCATTTAGCTTAAGCATTGGGCCACAAGAAGCCAACAGAGAACCAGGGTCATGACAGAACTGACCTGAAAGCTGTTCTGGGGAAGGACTGAAGTGCTTGATGACTGATTGAATACAGGGAATAAAAAGACTGAGGGACTCAAAATGACTCCCATGTTGGCCTCTGGATGAACGGGGAAATAGTCTATAGAAAGAAATGGAAGGAGAAAAAGGCATTATTTGTAGAACTGTTAACTTAAAAGGAATTTAGAGGTCATCACACTGGTAAAACCCAGAGCCAGAACTAATAGCCCATCTCCCCACCCTGCATGCCTGTCCTGGAGCTCATACCCTTCTCACTTACTATCAGTGGTATCCAGCTGGAGTTCGTAGTCCAAGACGTGAAAGCACTTCATGAGTGGGATGTGAAACTGAGCAATGAGAATCTCTCCTTTGTGTATAGGGAGTGGCTCAGATAATGCTAGAAACTATTTCCTATTTGGATCATCTTAACAAGTGGGTTTGTTTTCCACATTCGAGAAGTTAAGAAATGAGTGTTCTCTTGTGTATTCGGACAGTGGAAGAGCAGGCATAACATCCTGGGTTAATCTACCATTTTATTAGCTGGGTGTCAGTCGACACTTTGTTGAGGATATTGTTGACCTGAGAAGTAACTGTCAAGCTGATATTGGTTTCCTGAGATTGGGATAATCATAATAGTATTTTTTAGTTTGTATAGCACTTTCAATTTGCCAAGAGTTTTTCTCCTACATACTTTTGAATTCATAGGAAGGAGATTCAGAGATGCAGAGCTGATTTTTCACTGGCAGATTTGATCCTTTTTGAGAGAAAATCCCAGCCTTGTAGATTAACAAATTAGTATCATCATAGGAGATTATAATACCCTGCTTTCTTAAACTTATAATATACACACCTATACATCTACAGTTGAGGCAAAACTTCAGTTGATTAAAATAATTGAAAACGTAGGCAGGGCACGGTAGCTCATGCCTATAATCCCAGCACTTTGGGAGGTGGAGGCAAGAGGATTGCCTGAGCCCAGAGGTTCGAGACCCATCTGGGCAACTTGGTGAGATCTCATCCCTACAATGAATTAAATTAGTCAGGCATGGTGGCACGTGTCTGTGGTTCCAGCTACTTGGAAGGCTGAGGTGGAGGGATTGCCTGAGCACTGCAGGTCAAGACTGCAGTGACCATGTGCGTGTCACTGTACTCCAGCCTGGGAGAAAGAGTAAGATGACTCAAATTAGAAAAATACTACAAAATTAAAAAAAGAAAATGTAACTAATTAAGTGGATTCAGCCATGACTGCTTCTGTGTATTATACATACTTGACCCCTAGTTTTCTCCTCTGTCACTGAGAGCATCTGTAGGTGATCTGGTTTCTTCATGTGTGGACAGCAAGGCATTGATAAAGAGCATGATACAAGGGGAGATCCCAAAACCTCAAAATTTATTTATAAAAATTGTGCCTTTATTCTTACGTTTAAACTTCAGTCACCAAGATGACTTTTCCATGGCTTAAAGTTTTTTTCTTTAAAATTTATTTTAAAGATGTAGTGTACAATTCAGGATTAGGTATACAAGTGGTCATTGTACAGGTAAAGCTTGGACCTGACTTTGGTTCCCACTTTGCCTGGTTTGAGATCAAGTACCCTTATTGATGAAGTGTGCCCATCCCCCTCCCTCTACTGGCAGCGTCCTGCTACTGCCAATCCCTTATAGTATTATGATAATTGTTCAGGGTCCACTTATAAGTGAGAACATGTGGTACTCAGTTCATTAATTCTGTGATAGAGCACTGAGATTATAGCCTCTAAATCCATCCAAGTTGTTGCAAAGTTCATAATTTTGTTCTTTTGGCTGTGTAATATTCCATTGTGCATATTACCACATTTTTAAAATCCTATCTATTTTCGATGGGCAGCACGGTTGGTTCCATGTTTTTGTTATTGTGAATAGTGCTGCAATAAACACCCATGCACAGGTATCAAAACAGCTTTTGAACGTGTCAATTTTGATGACTTTTAGTGCTTCTGCCATTTTTTGCTTCACCCCTTTCACATCAGGAAAACATTGTCTTTTGAGGACTTTTTTATTACAGGGAAACAAACCAAAAAAAGGCTGCTAAGGGTGGGATCGGGTGAATAGGGAGGTGGGGCATAGGGGTCATGCTGTTTTTGGTCCAAAAAGTGCTGAACAGTTAGCGCAGTGTGAGCAGGTGTGTTGTGACAGTAGAACCAGTCACCTCTCTGCCACAACTCAGGAAGTTTCTTCTGCAAATCGTGATGCAATCTTCTCAAAACTTCCAGGTAAAAACTTTGGTTGACTGTTTGATATGGAGGAACAATTCCAAGCGTACCACAAGGGGCCCACCCTCCAGAAGATAATTCTGGGTTTTTTTTATGGGTGCCCTCATGTATATATTTGTGTCCTTTGTACAATTTTGGAAAACCTCTAGCATGTTTTAGCTTAAAGTACTCTGGATGGCACTGCTTTCTTAAGCTCAAAGAAGGGAAGCAGGCACAGAAGGAGATAGGTAAGTTACTTACTCTACTGATGTGAAGAATACTGCAAACAGTAATTATATTATTTTTAGGGAAAATAAAGACTTGGCCTGGGCTGAGATGGAAATAACTTCTACTGTCTTTTCTAACATCATACCCTTAACAGAAGGAAAAGGAGAAGCAAGCAGCTGCCAAAAGTTCTTGTAGACGCTTCCAGAGGATGAACTGTGCCTATGTTTTTGTTTTTTGTTTTTTTTAACCTATGTCATGCTGATATTATTGAAACAACCAGAACAGTCAGATTGTAGAATCATTTAGCCCCTTCCTTCAGGAAGCTGTCTCTGGTCATCCCTGCATCAGCAGATGTCTCAAAGGTACCTCACGGCACTGGTCACAACCCGCACAGATTGTTTTTGCGATTGTTTAGTGTTTCTTCCATGTGAATGCCTTGCTTGCCACTGTATCCTTAGCTTCTACCACAGTGATTGGCTCATGTTTGACTATTCAAACGTTTGTTGAAATGAACAGTTTGGTGAGGGTAGGGACAGAGGCCATGAGTTTTTTGATTCTTTGGTAACAATTTGCTTAGCACTTCAAGCACAAGTGATGTCCTCAGTTTGCAATAAAGGCTTTCTGAAAGAACCCACATCTCACTCTTTCGAAACCCTGTGTGATGCAGCAGCTGCAGCCACCTCAGAGCCTCCTTCCTGTTCTCCTTACCTAGGATAGAGAGGGCACAATGAGAACTCAGCCAGCAGGGCATGGAAACAGATTTCCTTGATGCTACTCATAATCTAAAAGCCTTGTGGAGGCTTTTTACATTAATCTTTTAAAACTGTGAAATTTGAACCATGTCCGTTTTGATCTCTTAATTGTGTTTTCAAATAGCAGTCCTCAAAGTGCGTTTCCCAAACCAATATTCTCAGCACAGCCTGGCAATTTAGAAACACAAATCCTTGGCCTCAACATTGACTCGAATCAGAACCCTGGGTTGAGACCCAGCAGTCTGTGTTTTAACATGTCCTCGTGGTGATTATGATGCATGCCAGAGTTTGAGAACCACTCTTCTTTTTGAGTCAAGAGTCTCACTCTGTCGCCCAGGCTGGAGTGCAGTGGGACGCTCACAGCCACCACAGCCTCGACCTGCTGGGCTCGGGTGATCCTTCTGCCTCATCCTTCCACGTAGCTGGAGCCACAGGCGCGCGCCACCACACCCAGCTAATTTTTTGACTGATTGTAGAGAGACAAGGTCTCAGCAAGTTGCCCAGGCTGTTCTCCAACCCGTGGGCTCCGGCAACCCTCTTGCCTCCGCCTCCCAAAGTGCTGGGATGACAGGCGTGAGCCACGGTGCCCATCAAACATACAGCCAGCCGTTGTCGATTCAACAGAACGACGACCCAGGGGCCGACAGTTAACATGCAAATCCGAGACTTCGCACTGCGCTTTGAGGGGAGAAGGAGGCACCTCTGCACAACCAGTCGTTACCCCTCCTGAACTGTGTCGTCTTTACACGGGTGATCGTGGAACTTTGTATTCTGGTGCAGAAAAGGTACAGACAAGTGCCATTTTCCTACAGACGGCGCCTGAATGATACAAGCATGGCGAGAAAACTCGGCAGGGTGTGGCGGGAAGCAGATCACCCGGCTAGAAATTGCAGGTCTCTCCCACGACCGGAGGGCTCCGCTCGCTCCTGCCTGGCTTCCCTCCGACCTACGTGGGGGCTGCTCTCCGGACCCAAGAGCCCGGCCCTCGGGAGGCGCGCGCTCGGATCTGCGCGGAAGCTGCGCCAGACCAAGCGGAACACACTCCAGGGAGGCCACCAGGACGCCGGCACTGGATCAGGGGAAAACACGGACCCATGCTCGCGAGGGGCCCCCAAACTCTTCCGCTCAGGTCCGCAGCCGGGCCCTTCCGCCTTTTTCGCCCCGTCCCGCCCCAGCCTCCGACGTGAGGCACGCACGCTGCAGCCAATGAGACGCCAGGAGCTCACAGCAGTGGCCAATGCGTGGCCGGATGGTGCGAGGGGGCGGGAGCGACCCCGCGCGAGGCCTCGCACCCGGAAGTGCTTGCTTAGTCCTGACATCCCGCTGGGTGGGGGCTCCGGGCTCTGCACGTGGGGCGGGCGCGGCGGCGGGGCAGCGTATGTTGGGTGTAGTGCCCGCGCGCTTGCCGTCCTGTGGGTTTTTAGTGGGGGAGCAAGTCAATGTGGCTGTGTGTCGCTGGGAAGGACCCCTACGGCCGCGTTTCGGAGCCTGCGTGGGGACGAGCCCCGCGGGCAGCACCGTGCAGGGAGCAGGCGAGTCGCGAAGACGCCGCACGGGCGGTGGGAACATGAACCTCTTACCGAAGAGCTCCAAGGAGTTTGGCTCCGTGGACTACTGGGAGAAGTTCTTCCAGCAGCGAGGAAAGAAGGCTTTCGAGTGGTATGGAACCTACCTGGACCTCTGCGGGGTGCTGCACAAATACATCAAGCCCAGGGAGAGGGTAAGGAGCGCGGCCTGGCAGCTCTGCGCGCGCACGAGAAAGTGGGGCTTGAGAACCGTCACGTTGCATCTGGGGACGGCGACAGGCGAGGGGTCTAGTTGGACTCTTAGTTCCAGGATTCCACGAGTCGTTCCGGCTAAAAGACAACTTTAAAACACTCTCTTCAAGGTTTGCAGTTTATCCTTGAATTGCTAACCCTGCTTAGAAGAGTGACTTCTTTAGTAGTCTAAACTAGATGTTACCTCCTGAAAGTGTGCTGTTGCTGTGCATCTCTGTGGCTTCATCGATGTGTTATGAGGTTGTTTATCTAATTGTGGGCTGCTCCCTGAGTTCCGGTCACTGTGCCTTAAGTTACATGAGCATTGAGACATAAATCCTACGCACATTTCAGCCGTGACAAGTGATAAATAAGGTAATAGGTTTGGTAGAGGCGGGATTGTACTGGAAATAGGAAAGGAGGAAGTGTAAAAAAGCTAACATTTGTGGGGAAGCTTTATGTGACATGCCTCATGCAGAGTGCTGTGTGTGTGTATGTGTGTGTGTCACGTGCAGTCTCTGAATTCTCATCATAAATTCAGGTTAGTGGTCATGCAAGCATTTTACAGTTGAAACTGAGGCTCTGAGTGCCAGTTTTTTGCTGGAGATTTATACATCTAGTGAGCGGTCACTAGGGATTTAAACTCAGGCCTGACTGGCTCCAAAGCTTATGAACTTCTCTTCGTAACATGCTGGGAGGCAACAGTCTGTTTTTTAAGATTGGCTTCGGAAAATAACAACATATCACTAGATGGAAATCTGTGATGGGAGTAAGATTGAATCCTTATAAAGCGCATCTTACTCTCTGGTAGGCATGAATGGATTGAGGAAATAGGGTTATTCCAGGCCTAGGATTTCAACAGAAACATGAGATTTCAGCTGTAATCCTGTGACTTTTGTTAATTCCCGAGTAATAAACGCACCTTTCAGAGAAAAGAACAACCATGATTAATTTGTTTCTACAGCACCAAGCCCATTCTCATATGACCTTTTTGTGGCTGCAGGTGGTTTTTACTAGTGAGTTCCTCTAATCTGTGGTGTTTCAAAATGGAGTCTAGAATCAGCTCTGTAATGTTGCTCTCTTCCTGACAACAATGCCTCCACCTTCTGAAAACATGCGGCAGCCAAGGAGAGGCTTGATTCCTGGAAGTAGGTGAAACATATTATCTTGTCTCATTACCTCCATCCCATGTGTGTTTTTCCCTGCAGGTGTTGGTGATTGGGTGTGGCAACTCAGAGCTGAGCGAGCAGCTATATGATGTGGGCTATCAAGATATAGTGAACGTTGACATCAGTGAGGTTGTCATCAAGCAGATGAAGGAACGCAATGCTAGCCAACGGCCCCAGATGAGCTTCTTGAAGATGGACATGATGCACATGGAGTTTCCTGATGCCTCGTTCCAGGTGGTGTTGGACAAGGGCACCCTGGACGCTGTCCTAACAGATGAGGAGGAGGAGACCTTGCAACAGGTGGACAGGATGCTGGCTGAGGTTGGCCGCGTCCTGCAGGTGGGCGGTCGCTATCTCTGCATCTCCCTGGCTCAGGCTCACATCCTGAAGAAAGCAGTGGGTCACTTCTCTCGGGAGGGGTGGATGGTGAGGGTGCACCAAGTGGCCAGCAGCCAAGATCAGGTGTTGGATGCAGAGCCTCAGTTCTCCCTGCCTGTGTTTGCCTTCATCATGACCAAGTTCAGGCCAGTGCCTGGCTCTGCCCTTCAGATCTTTGAGCTGTGTGCTCAGGAGCAGGGCAGACCTGTGCGGCTGGAGAGTGCTGAGCAGCTGGCCGAGGCGGTGCGGGAGCGGCAGCAGTATGCCTGGCTGCGTGGCCAGCTGCGCTGCAAGGCCGGGCTGGGGAGTGTGTCTCTGGACTTGTGCGATGGGGACACGGGGGAGCCACGCTACACCCTCCACGTGGTGGACAGCCCCACTGTGAAACCATCGTGGGACAGTCATTTTGCCATTTTCATCAGTGAGTTGGGATTACTCCCCTCTTCCCTGGAAGGGCTGGCTTGCTGGGGCTGGGACTGGGGCGGATGAGGGTGTCTTGGCTATTTTCATCTTGCAGGGGGTCATACTTCTAGAGGATTAGACCAGCCAAGGCATGGTGGAAGGGGTGTGAAAGCTCTCCAGCAGCATGCTTAGATTTTAGGCTTATTCCTTCTCATCTGCCATTGCAGAGGCAAGATGAAGTAGGAGAATGGGGCTGGCAGTGGGGAGAAAGAATGGAGAGAAGTGTTGCATAGAGATGTTGGTTACCTGGTAGCACGGAGTGAGGAAGCAGCCTGCAGCTGGTCTGAGACTGACTGTAGTCCCAGCTCTGGCCTGTGAACTGTGGGACTGGGAAGTTGCTGTGCTGCTCTGTAGAACTGAGAGAAGCGGGACAGGGTAGCAGTTAAGAAAGCTCTGGAATCAGTCCTGGTGGCATGACATTGGACAAGCTACTTTCTTTTCTGTGCCTTGGTTTCCTCATGTAAAAAGCAGGATTGTAAGTCCTTGTGTAGTTGTGAGGAGTGCAAAAGCTCTTAGAAACGGTATCTGGCACGTGATAAATGCTTTATAAATATCAGCTGTTATTATTGAAAGGCGTGAATAATATCAGATTTAGCTTAATCAGGATCGAGACAGATGGTGCGAGGAAGTGCTTTTAAAGGTAGACAGTTCTAGCGAATGCAGTGTTTGTAGTTATGGTGCTGATGATAATTTGTTTCCTGACACCTGCGCCCTTTTCTGAGTATTCTGTAACCCTGACAGTCCACCTGTGGGCCCAGTAGTGCAGTGGACATGAGCGTGGAGTCCAGGGCTTAACTGCCTGGTCTCGAGTCCCAGCTTCCCCATTTACTAACTATGAACCTGGTAGATGGAGTAACTTCTGTGCCCCCACCCTCCTCATTAGAAAAATGGGAACAGTGCTTCTATTTGCTTCTTGGGTTATTGGGAGGCTTCAGTTAGTTTATGTTTGCCAGCTGCTTGGGGTCATGCCTGGCATGTGAGAAGCACTATTACTGTTGCTGCTTTTCTTGCCATAGATACCTGCCTCCCTCCCCTTTATTTATTCCTTCCTGTTACAGACATGCCCACTTCTTATCTGCCCTTGGTCCTGCTCCATGCCTGGTGGCGGCTTTGCTCTGAGTGTTGTGTGCTAAGGAAATGATAACCCCTTAGTGAATCACAGTTGGAAGGATGCTGGTCTTGGGCAGGGACTGGCTCTCTGCCATGTGGGCCATATTGGTTGTGGGCTTGAACACTCTTCCAGGACTCTCTGTAACCAAGTTCCTTCTTTTAGTCCCTCAGGGCCGGGAGACAGAGTGGCTCTTTGGCATGGAGGAGGGCCGGAAGCATCTGGCAGCCAGTGCAGGCTTCAGAAGGCTGATCACAGTGGCCCTTCACCGAGGTCAGCAGTATGAAGACATGGACAGCATCCAGGCCGAACTGTCATCAAGAGTCATGGAGCTGGCCCCAGCTGGAATGCCCACCCAGCAGCAGGTAACAGCTTGGGCAGCAGTGTTCTCGGGCCTCTGAAGCCCAGGTAGCAGCCAGGAGGGCAGAGGGAGCCTTGACCTGGGACCCTAGTCTGATCTGGAAGTATGTCAGCAGCTACGAGTTAAATGAGTGAAAAACCACTTTCCCTTGCCGCAGGCAGAGATGGGAATGTGGGCACAATAGTGGCTGTCTGTGTGCGTGTTGGAGTAGGGGAGGACACTCAAAGCCATGAAGGTGGTGCCCAGGAAATGCTCCACACCTCTGGGCTCCAGCTGTTCACAGTACGATTTCTTACTGCAGGTTTTTCCTTCCCACTGTTGAATTGGACTTCCTTGGCCATTTTGCTTCATAGAACTATCATCTGAGGGTATAAATGGGAATGGACCAGAATAGCACAGTAGGATTTTCTGGATATTAGTGTTGCTGGACTGGTGTTTTACTGGGAGGGAAATAGAAGGTTTTTATCAAAATGATGGTATGGTGTTATCAGTTAATACTCTGTCCTGTGCCATCCTGGTCACCATGGGTAAAATTGACACCCACTTTGTGTATAAGAACTTTATGGTAAAGAGTTTATCCTTCTTGATAGGTGAGAAGGCCAAGGTACCTGGAGGCTTGGTGCAGTATTAACAGATCTGAAAAAAAAGAACCTGGGTTCCCACCTGTGATACTGCTCACCAGGCTGACTGGTGTGTATGAATGAATGTGTGTTTGATTCTTCCTGGCAGTCTTTAGGGCTGGTGTTTATCAGAGAGACTTATTTCCTGGAAGCCTGGGTCCTCTGGGGAGCTTTCTTTGAGACCCTCTCTCACCAGGTTATGAAATACTCTTATAGGTCTTTAAACTCTCTCCTCCCATGTTTAGGGAGAAACATGTATTTTTCTCCTAAGCTTTAGAAAAATGGAGAAAAATACAAGAATAACTAGGGGAAGGATTGGTTATTTCCCTGTGGATCTTGTTACCTTTGTCCTTGTCTAGATTTCTTTTCATAATGACAGCCCTTGCCTAAGGATTCTCTATAGCTTTAATTATCCTGGACTATTGAGAGTTCTTTAGGACTTACTGATGAGAAACTCATAGATTTTTTCCTGAAGAGAACTGCTGCCTCTCACAAATGGTTTTGGGAGATTAGATTTGGGTTATGTATTCTGTTGATTTTCAAAAGGTGAGTCAAACCTTTTGAGAAAATTCATAGGCCCCAGAGAAATTCTGTAGTCGAACAGCAAATCTCTGGAGTTGTCATCCAGAGATTTGGGGAAATTCCTCAGATGGACACACAGTGGGGAGGACCTGTGACTTCTTGGTTTTCCTCGTTGAACTGGTGTTTTGACCATATCTCTGGCTGTATCTTCAGGTGCCTTTTCTGTCCGTGGGTGGGGACATTGGAGTCCGCACTGTTCGGCACCGAGACTGCAGCTCCATAAGTGGCGACTATGTCATCGAGGACGTGCAGGGGGATGACAAGCGCTACTTCCGGCGGTTAGTCTTCCTCAGTAACCGGAATGTGGTGCAGTCAGAAGCCAGACTGTTGCAGGATGTGTCTCACAGAGGTGAGGCTTCGTGGCCTTGATGGGGTCCCAGGTGGGTTTGGCATGGACTCTTGATTTTGGGTGTCCATGAAGACCTAAGAGCTTGGAGATGGGGAACAGTCCTGGGTGCCTAAGAATCAGAGCCGTGGATGTGGCCAGTGAGCCCCGCTGTCCTCCATAGTATGACATGCTGTCGCCTGTTCAGAGGGTCTGAGAGTTGCAGGCGCCTGAGAAGCATCTAGCCTGTCATAGCTCAGTGGAACGGCCTGTGATGGAGGAGTTGTGCAGTACCTGAGCTTCTGGTATGATCGCTACCAGCCGTGTGTGGTGCTGAGCATTTGGAATGGGACTGTTGCAACTGAGGAACTGAAATTAAAATTTTCTTTGATTTTCATGCACATTTAAATGACCACAGGTAGCTAGTGGGAACAGTATTGGACAGTGTGATCTAAACCGTCTCCTTTGGGATCCCTTCAATTGGTCTCCTGGATGCTGCTCAGAAGCTCCTGCTATGGGGAAGGGAGTCTATCGTGTGTCCTACCCATGTTGTCCGCTGGGTATGTTTGTTTGTGTTACAGAAGCTACACTTGCCATTACTTCGAAAGTCAGGTGTATAGAGTAAGAAATGAATGTTTCTCCCTCCCCTTCTCTGACGTGACTTCCCCTTGAGGCACAGAAATTCCATGGAAGCTGAAGCTGGCTCCCTGATTCCCAGTTGCTCCCTTTGCCTGACCTTGCTGTCCTCTCAGCAAGGCATCTGGGAGGAGGCTGGAGATGGAGGATTCATACTCGGCAGGTCATGGGTTTGCCCTGAGCTTAGGATCAAGTTCCTCTCAGCAGAATGGTTTTTTCCTTAGCGTTTCCTGGCCAATTTTACCCATGATTGTCGGGTTCCTGCCCTGTGGCTAGTCACTCTGACTGTAAGTTGATTCCATTTCATTTCACTAAGACATCAGTAAAAGTGCTTAAAAGAACACTTTGCCCCTCCAGTTTGGGTTTCAGGTTTTTTCATCATTGTCAGGTTCTTGCCGCTCATGGGAGGAACATTCTCCCTCATGAAAGTCTTGGTGAGCAAAAAGGAGATCATATTAAAAAGCGATTTAACATCTTGGAAAGCACCCTGACCATACAGTTCCTGGTGCTGCTATGGAATGGAGCAGGTCCCTGCGAAGACCAGCCCTCTGTTTCCATGGTGTCCTGAAGCAGGAGAGGGAGAAGGTAGAGGGAGCATAGAGGGTCTTCTATTGGCTTTATTTCCCCCATGAGCCCTTGTGATGCCTTGCTCAACAGTATGGGAGGTGCTACTGTGGCATGGTAGAGAGGCGAAGGGTGTTGGGGACATTGGTCCTGAGTTTAAATCTGTCTGCACCACATGCTGATTCTGTGCCTGTTTGCTTAACACTTCAGCTGCTTGGTGTCTCATGTGCCAAGAATTGGAATGAGAAGTTTTTCAGAAGAGCTAAAAGAGTAAAATTCCTGGTACAGTAACTGGCACCGAGGAGGTAATTGGTAGCTGTACCTCTTCTCTGAGAGAATGTATGAGTAACCTTTTCTCCTGTTAGAGGTCATACATTTCTCAGGGGGGAGGTGTGAGGACTCCTCCATGGAGTTTTCCCAGATTTCTGAGTGTGCCTACTCCCTTTTCCAGATTCCTTGTCTCCATTGTATGTGTGACACCCTGATTTGTAGTGTTTGCCCATTTCTGTGGTATAAGTACCCCCACCATGGCCAGATTCAAGCTGTCAACAGTGAGCAGAATTCCTGTGTGTTTGCCAGTGGGCTCCTTTGAGTTATGCTGTCCATAACGCTGTGTTCCAAGGCCTGGTGTTCTGGGCGTAGGCCTTCATTAAGGCTGTCTCTCCTTTAGCCCAGAAGAAACGGAAAAAGGACAGGCGGAAGCAGCGGCCTGCTGATGTTCCTGAGGACCTCCCTGTGGCCATTGATAAGAGTTACCTGTGCTGTGAACACCACAAAGCCATGGTTGCCGGCCTCGCACTGCTGAGGAATCCAGAGCTGCTCTTGGGTGAGAGACACCACTGCCACTAGGGCACATATAAGGTTTCAGAAGTAGCCGTTGATGTCAGCTTCCTTGTCGTTTAAGAACAATTCTTACGAACCAGCAAATGCACGTGTATTCGTGTCTTCATCTCAGCTGTCTTCTGAGTTAATGCACATACCAAATAACTTTTGCCCCAAATTCAACTTGTACTATTGAAATTGTATTGAAGTGTGTTGGTGTCTGAATGTTTCTTCTATTTATTTCTTCTTAAAATTAAGGTATACAATGGTATGTGGAGTACACAGATTTTAAGTTGTTCTGCTTTTCTGTAATACATTTGAATACCAGATGCAATTCTGTCTTGAATGTCTACTTTTATTTTATTTATTTATTTTGAATTGGAGTCTCACTCGGTCGCCCAGACTGGAGTGCAGTGGCCGCTCCCGGCCACTGGAGCCCAGCAGCGATCCTTCCGCCTCAGCCTTCCGAGTAGCCGGAATTACAGGCATGCGCTACCACGCCCGGCTGATTTTTTTATTTATTGTAGAGATGAGGTCTCGCTGCCCAGGCGGGTCTCGAACCCGCGGGCTCAGGCAATCCACTCACCTCAGCCTCCCAAAGGTGCGGGATTACAGGCTGAGCCACCGAACCCAGCTGAATGTCTACTTTTAAAAAATCCATATTGTAGTTAGTGCAATCATAGCCTTATAGCAGGTCACACCAGCAGAAATGTTGGTGTTTCCATCTGTGATATGACTGTCCTTGCCTGGGGTCCCTGAATTTGCCCACTTGTACCACTGACCTGTCTTGGTGTTCACGCGTATCCCTGAACCTCTATTCCTACATGTAGCCCTCAGGATCTGGCTCCTCTTGGGGAGTCTTTTTTTTTTTTGAGTTGGAGTCTCACTCTGTCGCCCAGACTGGAGTGCAGTTGCCTCTCCCGGTCACTGCAACCTTGACCTGCTGGGCTCTGGCGATCCTTCCGCCTCAGCCTTCCGAGTAGCCGGAATTACAGGTGCGCACTACCACGCTTGGCTAATTTTTTAATTTTATTGTAGAGATGAGGTCTCGCCTTCCCAAACGGGTCTCGAACCCACGGGCTCAGGCAGTCCACTCACCTCAGCCTCCCAAAGGCTCGGGATTACAGGCTGAGCCACTGAGCCCGGCAGGGAATCTTTATTTCTTTCTTTGATCCCCTTATGGCTGCTGTTTCTCTGTTCTTAGGGATAGGAGTTGGGCTTTTGTTCCCTGTGGTTTATGGAATATGGACAGATTGCCCTTGCTTGGTTGGGATATCTGAGAGTAGGGTGTGACCTTGTGAGTTGAGAGCTAGGAAGGGCATTGCACCTGTACTGTACTGCCTATGACCGTGGGCAAGACTGCTAGGCATTACTCCTCCCTTACCAGAGAGGGTCCAGCAACTCTAATGGTGAAGACTCCTGATTCCAGGTAGCTGAGTGCTTTGGGATCTTTAGGAGACCATGACAGGGTAACCCTCTTGGGTTCCCTCCCACTATGGGAGCTTTTCTGTCCTTTCAATAAATCTTGCTTTCTCAAAAAAAAAAGAAAGAAAAGAAAAGAGACCATGACAGTAATGCACTGGTTCACCTTCTGGGTCTAGTCGTCATGAATCCAGTTGAGTTTTCAGATATCATATCAACTCCTAGATTTGGGGAGTGAGACAGGGAGGCCAGGTCTCTAAATCTCGTATCTCCTGAGCAGGGTCAGTGATGTGACTCCCCCTTGCCTTCCCTGAGGCTGGTACAAAGATTTGCAGTGAGCAGATGGGAAAGTGATGCTCTTTTCTTTTCTTACAGAGACTCCACTGGCATTGTTGCTGGTTGGCCTGGGTGGGGGCAGCCTCCCCCTCTTTGTCCATGATCATTTTCCAAAGTCCTGCATCGATGCTGTGGAGATTGACCCCTCCATGTTGGAAGTGGCCACGCAGTGGTTTGGCTTCTCCCAGAGTGAGCGAATGAAGGTCCACATTGCAGACGGCCTGGACTATGTTAGCAGCCTGGCGGGAGGAGAAGAAGGTACCGCAGGGGAGTCATTGGAGGATGTAAGGGAAGATTGCTCCATGGTTGTGAGACCTACAGGGGTTTCGAGAATTTATCGCTAAGAGGATGGTGTCAGTATCATCCCGGTCTTTCACCTGTTTATTTGTTGATTCACTTATTCAAGACAAAAAGAGTGCCAGCTCTATTCTTAGTACTGTGCCAGGCGTTTGGAGTGTAGCAACCGGAAACACAGTGGGGCTCCTGATATGTATCCTCATGACTTCCTCACCATCCCAGGAAACGTGGAGTCTGTACTGGGAAAAAGAAAAGGTGGCATGTGTGTTAGGGCTATATCTTCTAAATGCTTCCACTGGGGGTGGAACCAGAAGTCGGGCAAAACAGCTTTCATGTAGGTCAGCGGTTTACAACTCAGGGGACATTTGGCTATGTCTGCAGAAAGTTTTTGGTTGTGACAGATCAGGTAAGGTTGTTGCTACTGGTGTCTAGGGGCTAGAGGCCCAGTCTGTGAAATCTACAATATGCCGCAGTGTGCAGGACAGCCATTAATGGCACAGAGTGGTCTGGCCCAGGTTGTCGGCAGTGCTGAAGTTAGAAACCGTGTGCAGATACCACAGTGGGGATTTTGCAGCCCTCCTGCTACTGGAATTAAAGCTCCATTTGCCCTAATAACTTGTATCCCAGACTTAGGACAACAGGCATATTAGTTTTCCACAAAATACCAGGGATAGTATTTCCCTCATCATTTTGCAGTTATATATTCGGGCTCCTGGTGACTACTTTCTGAGGCTTGAATCCCTCAGGAGGAGTTAGGTTGGATCAGGTCTCCTGGTAGCTCAGGCCACTCTCCTGGTCTGCTCGTTCCATGACAGATACTCTGGTTTTCACTGGGAATTGGAATATCTTCCAGTGAGGGTGTGGCAAACGGTGATGCCCGCAGTTAGTGTTTTGGGATGAATAGGTACAGCCTTAGTTGTCTTTGCAAATGGAATTTTATGTCAGAGTTGCACAAGTTCCCTCTCTGAGGCTATGGCCAGTGGGGGCCCAGGCCCAAGATAACTGATATGTGTGAGGCACTTGATAGGTGTTTGGTCCATCATGCATGGTACTGCAGTAATCTGTAGATGAAATGGCGTTGCCCATCTTTCATGATAACCTTTCAGATTCCTGGAGACCCAAGGCTCCAGATGTGGACCATCCTTAAATGTAGAGCCAGTATGTTCTTTTTCAGGTCTGTGCTAAGTACAGTGATAAACATTCAGGAATCCTAACTAGATACTGGTTAATTATTGAATAATTACTGCCACAGTCTCCAGATTTTCTAAAAACATGTCAGTGGCATTGCAGGGCTGTCCCTTACAAAAACTAGTTGACATTATAGTAAGGAGAAGATCTACTTCTTCATCAGTTCTTTTACATCCATTTGGCAAAATCATTTCTTTCTTGAGCAAGCTGTTTATTGTTCATGTGACTACAAAGATAACATTAACTCAAATTTCAGAACATTTAGGCAATACTTGCTGTTCCCAGAGTTAAAGTTGCCATTTGCTAGGTCGGCCCTTCAAAGCTTAGGCAGCTACTTTGTCTGACTTGGTGATTCCCCACTCTGTGTAGACTTACTGGGGAGGGTAAGAGAAATACTAGCGGCCTTCCATCTGTCCCACAGCAACCTGGAGTTTTTGACTTCGTTTGTTGGGAGTGTAGCCCACATTCTCTAAGGACTTAGAAGCTTCCCAGGGTGATTCTATTAAAATGTTCTGCCAGGGTCAGAAACCACTGGAATAAGATGGACCCTTAGACAAGAAATATTCATGCTAAAGCAAGACCCCATGAATGTCTGTGTCTTTGGAAGGTGCTTGTAAATGCTGTGGAAGGCCCCATCTTTACTGTGGGACACTCTGAACCCTGATGTCAGGATTCCCCAGGGCCATGATGTCAGTGCCCTAGCAGGCACACCACATCCTCTATGGCATCCTTCTGTCATCGCCACCCTAACCACCATGGGTACAGAGGGGGTTAGTGTAGGAGCAAATGTGGTGTTATTTTACTCAGCAGTGACAGGCTTGCTTGCTTCTCTTTCCTAGCACGGCCCCACTATGATGTCATCATGTTTGATGTTGACAGTAAGGACCCAACACTGGGAATGAGTTGCCCACCCCCAGCATTTGTGGACCAGCCTTTTCTGCAGAAGGTCAAAAGCATCTTGACTCCTGAAGGTATGGAGAACAAAAGGTTGGAGAGGGAGAAGGGAAGGGACCCTTAAATTATCTTTTTAGTGAAAAATGCGCATAAATGTACAGCTCTGTTTTCCCAAATTAAACACATCCATTTACCAGCACAAACACAGAACATTTCCAGGACCCCAGAAGTCTCCCTCTTACCCCCTTTCATGAACTCGTCTTCCCAAGGTAGCCACTATTCTGACTTCTGTCAGTGCAGCTTAGTTTTGCAGGACTGTAATTGCTGGCAGATTGGAGGTGTGTGTGTGTGTGTGTGTGTGTGTGTGTGGTAGGTGTGGTAGGTGTGGTAGGTGTGGTGCAGCAATTTGCAGTCCCACCAGCATGGTGATGCTGGCTACCTCCTGAATGCTTCCTGCATGCCCTAGATCAGTTACTTAATCTTCACAGCAGCCTGTTTTCAGATTAGGAAACTGAGGCTGAGAGATTTGCCAAGGTGACACAAAATAACAGGCTCCAATTCAGACACTTGTCACTGGAAAACTGGGTTCTTAATCCCTATGTTCATAGCCCCCTAGGTGTTTTGATCTGGTGGAAGGTACTGACTGGTGAACTGGATTGATTTAGAACCTTATTGTCAAAAGTCAGGATACCTTGGCCCTCTCACTGGTTACTAAATGCTCCGTGATGTGTATGTCAACAATGTAGTATCCCTGTCGAGTTGGTACATTTTACTTTCTCAGGGATATTAATTAGTTACTTCTTTCTCAAAGCAGTTCTTCAGGAAACTGAGGCATGGGGAATGGTGAGATAATGTGTTACCACAGAGGAGCGAGAAGTAAGGATGGAGTCTTCTTGTGGCTTGTGTGTTCCCCGTGCCAGCCTCCATCTGCCTTTGTGGCTGTGGATTCTCTGCACTCTTACTGCCACCACAGCTGTGTGTTCTTAGTCTCCCACATGCCCTGTGGCAGGAGTTGGCATTTTCCTAAGAGCTGGTCCTTGTCTCTGGTATCTCCTGATCTGAAGTTCTGACTTTTCTTCCCACCCCACAGGTGTTTTTATTCTCAACCTTGTGTGCCGAGACTTGGGGCTGAAAGACTCCGTGCTGGCTGGGCTTAAGGCAGTTTTCCCCCTTCTATACGTTCGGCGAATTGAGGGTGAGGTAAACGAGATCTTGTTCTGTCAGCTGCACCCTGAGCAGAAGCTTGCCACGCCAGAGCTCTTGGAAACGGCCCAGGCCTTGGAGCGGACCCTGCAAAAGCCTGGGAGGGGTTGGGATGACACGTATGTCCTGTCTGATATGCTCAAGACCGTGAAAATGGTATGATGACTGACCTTGGTCACTGGCCTGCCAGAGATTCAGAATATGATGCACAGTCCTTTTTAAGCCTCGTATTTTTATTGGTTTCATACTCATCTACCTACGCATGACATCCAGCTTGGTGGGGGTGCCTGAAGATCTGGGAAAATAAAGTTATTCCCCTCCAGTCCTCTTAGTGCTACTTGGGTTGAGCACCTTGTCCTCCTGTGCCCTGGGTAGGGCTCCCTGCGGCAACTGCAGTATACACTGCATGCCTTCCCACGTGCGCCAGGCTCCCCAGGACTCAGGACAGTCCAATTTCATTGCGTCTGTTCTTTACTGATCTGCATTTGCTTTAGCCCTACCTGAAGGAGTGAGGCAGCAGAGTATCCTGTGCCAGAACAATAAACAGTTTCTGTAGATTGTATCAGGCCTGCTCTGTCTCTGCAGATGAAACTACTGCTAAAATGCTCACCCACTCCACTGTTTAACAACTTTCCTCAATTGCCCCGGTTTTGTAGCCTAAGCCTTGGGTTTGTTCTGGTCTTGGTGGAAGGCGTGCATGTCAGAGACCTGGCTGACTGAAGTCTCTGGTGGTGTTCACTTACGGCATTTGTGAAGTGTCAGCTGCACCCACATGGAGAGTGGGGCTGAAGGGGAAGATATATAAGAATGGCCCAAAACGAAGGGTTCATGATGAAAGTTATTGTGGGGCCATCTTCTTCTTTTTTTTTTTTAATTTTTTGAGTTGGCGTCTCACTCTGTCGCCCAGACTGGAGTGCAGTGGCCGCTCCCGGCCACCGCAGCCTCGATCCTTCCGCCCCAGCCTTCCCAGTAGCCGGAATTACAGGCGCGCGCTATCACGCCCGGCTGATTTTTTGATTTATTGTAGAAATGAGGTCTCGCTGCCCAGGCGGGTCTCAAACCCGTGGGCTCAGGCAATCCACTCACCTCAACCTCCCAAAGGTGCGGGATTACAGGCTGAGCCACCGAGCCCGGCTGTGGGGCCATCTTCTAAGTGGTTTACATGCACTGTCTCACATAGTCTGACGTAAAGGAGAGGGAAACCAGAGCTAAATCTAAGCCCACATCTCACTAGAGTTTTTGAGATCATGAAGCTAGTGGTTCCATCTTGAATTTCATCTCTCCTAGCCAAGTCCAATGTACTAAGCAGTACCATGGAAAATAGGCAGTCACCATTCGCCACCTGGCCTATCTTACCACAGGCTCTTTAGAGTGGACTAGAATCTTGAGGTGAAGCATGCAGATGCTTCTCCGCTCATGGTGGTTCCACCCTAAAGTCAAAAAAATTATAAGTTGGGGACTATTTGTATTTCAAGATTAACTTGTTATTCTTAATAAAATAGTGTCAGTCTATTATGAATAAGGGGTGTGAGTGCAGAATAAAGTTTTTAGATCTTATTCCTTAGAAATACTTGGAGCTTGTTCCTCAGGGGAGGGTTTTCCCTAGAATCCTTCAAGGGAAAGATTATTCTTCACATCCCTGTACTCCAAAGAACCTCACTTGACAAACCCTGTTTTCTTACCTGTAAGCTTGTGCATTGTTAGGGTGGTCTATTGAGCACACGGTCTAAGTCAGGAGCTCGTCCTTGGTCCTTAGTCAGATCACCGTCATGTTGTGCAGAGTTGGGAGCAGCATGCTTCGGTAGCACAGTCACGCTAGGTATTACCAGAATGATGACGAGGTCTCACCTATATCTTAGGGGAATGGTCCGCAGAGTTAAGCATGTTTACTGGTGTGTTTACATGTCACTTGCCAAATTTGGAGGTGGGAAGAGGCACTTAGGGGTGATCATCGTTGTGTAAACGTTTTTGAAAGACTGAAGTATAGAAGAGTGAGCTTGTTAAGTGTGCCCCTGACTGAGGGAAGACTAGTGGGCACAGGTCGCAGTCAGACAGTCTTCAGCTTAATTTTCTGCAAGGAAGAGATTTGTACCTGTGGAGACCATGTTTACCAGGACACTTGGTGGCTGCAGGATGCTCAGGCAGCCCTAAGTACCTCCTGCAGGCACTTGCCAGTCTGTGAAGAAAGGGTTCTAATGTGTACAACCATAGAACCCTTGGCTGGTACCCATCCTTCCTACTGAGAGCTGTTCCCACCAGTGACTGCTGGCTTTTGCATTAATGACAGGCAAGTACATCTTTGCCTAACTTAGGCGTTTGAGCTCTGGAGGGAGGGCTGTACATGTGAATGTACCATTCCAGGCAAGTAACATACATGTCACACATGTGTAATGTGAGCCAGTAAAACAGGAAGGCTGGGATGAGACCCCTGGGCAACCAGAGAATAAATGTCCCATCTGCGGCATTGTCCTGCAGGAGTGTTATCCCCAGGTGGCTAGATCTCCAAGAGAAGCCAGAAATCCCAGGTATGTGTGTGCTGGCATTAAATGTTGGCCAGTTGGAACACTGCCTCAAGCCGTATTCAGTCTCTGGACCAGAAAATTGTGTCTCCTACCATAGGGGCCTACGGAATATCCAGGGGTCTGGCATGCACTCAGGCTTAGCACAAAACGGAGCAAGCTCTAAGTCTTAAAAATCTGGAGAAGTCTTGACTCTTGTTACGACCTCAGTTTTCTTTAATGGTTACAGCTGAGTGAGAATGGTGCCCCATCCTTGGGAGAGTATACAGTTTAGCTTCCCAGGACTGTCAGCAGAATAAATCTCATGACTCCCCCCAAAACAAGCTCTGCAACAATGTGAAATTGTGAGACTGACTGTCCTCCACCGTTTTGCCCTTGCCCTGTATTAATTTTCCTGCATCTCTCCCATATTGCCTGTCCTCTGGGCCATGCCTCAAGTCGGCCTTACAGGGAGACTAATGACTGTCCTTCGCTGCACGTGGCAGTCATCTGATACACTAAACAAAATAATGATCTCCCGAAGATGTCCATGTCCGGATCCTGGCAGCCTGTGACATGGCATTGCTGGTCGTTGCTAGCCTTGCAGAGACAGGAGGCCACAAGCAAAGGAGTATGGCAACCTCTAGAAGCTGCAAAAACCAGCTCTTCCCCAGAGCCTCCAGCAGGGGGCGGAACGGCCAACTCGATTCTAACCCAGTGAGACCATCTAAACACTGAATAACAGAACTGTACACTAGTACATTTGTGTTTTCAGCCACTGTGGTAGCTTGTTGCTGCAGCCATAGAAAACTAATGTTCCTGAGAAACTTTAGAAACAGGCCTGGCCCCACCCCCAGCAATTCTGATTTATTTGGTCTGGGATGTAGCCTGTGCATCAGAATGATAAAATGTCTTTCCAGGTGCTAGTGTGAGGCCAGAGTTGAGGACCCCTGAGGTGCAGGCTCTTAATGGGTACGTTATGAGCAAAGGGAGAAGGATGCTTTTCCCACCAGTGGCTGCTGGTTTGGCTCAGATACCTGCAGTAGCAGTCACTTGATATTGGAATATGCAGCCTCACACCCACACGCTAGTACGCACTTTCATGCTCTAACCTTCAAGTGGGTGACAATGGTGGAAGGTCATTTGCCATCCACAAGAGCCATGTCCTCTGTGGAGCATGGCAGCTCTGCTCCCTGCTACAGTGGCCCTGAGTGTCCACCCAGAGGACTGCTTAAAGCTCAGGGGCTAGTGAACCTCAGAGTCTCAGTTACCCTCTTGTGGCTTGTCTTGCCATTTGGTTCCTACACGCTTGTTAGCAACTAGTGGTCAGCAAGAAGTGGACTTAAGTTGGATTTTTGGACAGGCTGCTCTACGCAGACACTGCTTGTGTGCTGAGGATGCAAAGAGGAAAGAGCTCCTATTTCCCAGCTAGCTGGGGACGCGGAAGGACGATCCGACAGCCTAGCACACGCGGGTGAGCTTTGGAACTACATGTGCAGGAGGCGTCAGGCCAGCATAGAGGATGATCAGGTGTTTTCTTGTTAGGACAGAAAAGTGTTCAGTCGTAATAAAAATTGCCTGAGACCGTGATTGAAGGCTGGACTGCTTTTTTTCCAGCTCTGGTTTGGGCTGGTTCCCATGCCTCCCAGTAGATGGCACTAGAAATCACATGCGTTCCGGGGTGTCCAAAATTCCCTCTGGAAGAGAGGTGCTTCTTGGGGCTGTCCCCCAGCCACGCTTCCTGTGTCTCTAGTGAATAATCACAGTCTCCTCCTTGCCTGTTCTCTTGCTTTTCCTGGTACTCTAGCCACTGCTCTCCACTGTCACCCTTTTTCCTGCCCAGGCATTTGGAAAGATTATCGTTTCCTCTAGCAAGGATGTTGCCAGTGGGGGAACCCTGTGTGAAGCAGAGATCCCTTGGGCCCACATCCCCGATTTTAGAAATAATAGCTGGAAATAGAGTCATGGAGTAATGTTAGTAGGGCATATACCTAGAAGCTGATATGAGGTAAAGATGGAACAATGTCTGGCATATCTCCAACTCTTCTGCCAAGATGTAATAAGATATTCTGTCATAGTAAGTTAGTAGGTAAGGGAAAGGGTAAAAACAAATTTTGATTGGAATAATGGATTCGGATATTCTTTTTTATTCAAGTTAGCCCTACAAAGAAATGCCTGAGTCTTAAACCACAGAACCTATAAATATGACCTTACTTGGAAAAAGTCTTTGCAGATGTAATTAAGTATTTTGAGATGAGACCATCTCAGATTGGGGTAGTCCCCAAATCCAATGACAAGGATATAGAATAGCAGAAGAGACAGGGGAGACACCCGGGGAGAGCCCATATGAAGACAGGCAGATGGGAGATACACCCCCACAGCAGGGGATGCTGGCAGCCACCAAAAGCTAGGGGAGGGTGGGGAAGGACTCTCCCCCAGAGGCTCTGGAAGGAGCTACCTGCTGACACTTGGCAGATTTGTGGCTTTCATAACTGAGACAATAAACTTCTGTTGTCTTAAGGCACCAAGTTTGTGGTAACTTGTTTTGGCAGCCTTGAGAAACAAATACAGTGTCTGAAAAGGTCTAGCCTGTGCCATCCCACAGAACCCTTGTTAGGACAACTGGTCAGCACATCTGCATGTATGGCCCATTATCAGCATGTCCTTCAGAAAACCAAGGCTGATCTTCCACTGGTTGCTGTTTTTAGAAGGTAAGCATTTGGTGGTGTTTTTTTTTTTTTTTTCCAGTTGGAGTCTCACTCTGTCGTCCAGACTGGAGTGCAGTGGCCGCTCCCGGCCACCGCAGCCTCGACCTGCTGGGCTCCGGTGATC